GTTTTAAAAATTAAATTTTTAGAAAGTGGACCATTTTTTTAAAAATAAAAACATTATTAATAATGCTGATTTATATTATTTTTTATGAATATAAATAGCAGAGCTCTGTCATTGAAGTCATATCTCTTTGTAAGACATATGAAAAGTGATTTAATTGTTTTATTACGATTAATGGTTTTCGCGCAAAAGGACGTCGAATAATTGTCGGAGATGATTTTTTTTTAATAAAATAAAATTCAAAAGCGGCATTTCAAATTAACAGACTATGTATTATTATTATATTTATGGTTACATATTTTTGTCCTTCAAAATATTTTCCCGAAGTGTAAAAAAAAATAATTTTTTTTTTAAATGCTCAATTTTCGCCAATTGTTCCCGTTTTTTAGGTGTTCCAAAACAAAATTTATAAGAACATAAAGTGTAGATGATTTGTATTAATATTATTATTGTTTTAGTTACATATTTTGTATAAAAAAGTTACTTCAAAAAATGTTGCTTTTTAATGTTTAATGAATTTTCAATTTTGAGCTTTAAAAAAAATATTGGAAAACTTCAACTCCTCTTTGAACCTAATGATGGATGGAGGAGAGTTTCAAATTCAGTTAACAACTAAATTTTTGGGGTTTTGTTTTTAGTAAGAACAATTTAACGAATGGTCGGGGTGAAAGAAAAAAAAAAAAAAAAGGGAGGGTTGGAACCCCAAAAAAACCATTTATTACTAGCTTGATTCATATTCAAATTTCCAACATTATTTATTCAATTAATAGGAGTTGCAGAGGTACACAAAGCTTGAAAAACATCTCTAACTTTTGAAAAATGTGTTCTTTTTTTCATAGCATCCATTTTAACTGGATATTCCTCCTTTAGTTTTTTATTTTATTTTTTTTTATTTTATTTAAGGGCTCATTGAAAACACTTAGCCTCGATCTATTGAAAACTTGAAATCTCATAATAAAAATTCACGCATTTCTTAAATCAATCAGCCTCTATTTTTAGTGCCTTACTAAATCATAAATTACCATTACATCACTTGATATGGTAAACTTGTGCTAACATAAAGCTATAAATAATAAAAATATTGACATGTATAGATTTTATTATTTCAAGTACATTTTACATAATTAAGCTATGATAAATGCTAATTAATATATTAATATGTATGTACAAAATGTTGTATTACATTTCACAGATCCACCGTCCTTAAGTTAGTCAAACAAATTTATTCATTGATGAATGAAAAAAAAAATTGAAATGCAATATATTACTATTGGTATATAATCATAAATCATATCGTTTTATTTATATTTTTTTTTCACCAACATCTTGATCCACGCACTAGACATGAATATACGGCATATGATATGATTCGGATATTATACATATTGATTTTGTATAATGGAACAGATGAGATGAAAACAACAAAGGGAAACAAAAACAAGCAAACAAAATAAATACTTTACACGAACTATTGAATAAATTACAATTACACAGCATACACAAACAACCTAAACAACAATGGGGAAGAGAAGAAAAAACATGTATGGAGAAAAGATGGTACTACTACTAAACGGTATTTAACGATAGTGTCGACAAAAAAATAAAATATGATGAAATGATTATTTTAACTTAGAACATGCTTAGCCGCTATAAGACGAAACTCCACTGTATTGTTTAGGAATGAATTGTAGATCTCGAAGGAAAGGAATAAGTAAATTGAAGAAAGAAAAGAAAGAAAGCAAAAAAAAAGTTTCACTTAACTTAGATGAGGATGCCCGTGATAAGTTGGTTTTTCTGACGTAGATGCAAGCGTGTTAAATTAAAAATGTATAAGCTTTTAAAAATATATTTAAAAACAAAAGTTATCGAGAATATTAAAATCAAGTTATTTATGATGAATAAAAAAAATCCTGAATTAAAAATTGATCACTAACCCTACCAAACGCTTTGCTAAATTATTTCGTCTTTTGAACATTTAAATAATATCGTCAGACTGAAGGCAGAATCACGTAACTACGAACTGCTAAGTTTGAGAAAACGAGATTTGAAGTTTCATCTGCACTTAAAAAATTAAAATAATCACAGTGGCGGTATCTCACTTATAAAGATAAACCAAAGAGGTTCTTTTTTTTATATTCGTGGTTCCTCCTTACGAAACTAAATACAAACATGGACGGATTAAGTAGGAGGTAATAAACGGTCGCTTGCCGTTAACATTCCCATCCCTGCCGACGGGTAAAATTTTCAGAGGCTTCCGATAATATCAACCTGCAGGTCTTAAATTTACAATTTTTTAGACATTTTCGGTTATTTTCTATAGTGTTTTTTGAAACATTACGTTCAGTGCCAACATCTTTTAGTTATGTTATTTTAAAACATCCGGAACCTTCGTTTGTCCAAAGTCCTGCGCAGCCATTAAGTCCGCTTATCGCTTAACCGCCCCTAAGCACAAAACTAATTTTAAACTTTGCATATGAGTGAAAATTATACGTTTTCTCTCATTAATAGTTTTGGTTTTGGACCGACGATATTAAATACGAGTCCTAAGGAAATGGTTTTTCATTCGTTGAATCACTTACGATTTGCACAGCAAAAATAATATCATAATACATATATGTATCTCACTTTGTAATTAATCCTAATGAAGAAGGTGTTTGGTATCAGTCGGCTAGACTGGTTAATATTTCACATTTTATATAGACGCCTGTATAAAGAAAACGAAAATAAAGACATCATTATTAGCATTAAAAAAAACAAATTAAGTATATTGCCCTCCCAAATTATGTTAAACCATTACTATCCTAGTTTGCTAGTTGAAGTTGTTAATGTTTCTGTATTATAGATTCAAATACTTGATTATCCAATCAATTATTTATTTAATATAATTATTTTTTATTTGTATATTCCTCTATCACTACAATTATCCCTAGTTCAATAGCCTTAATCTAAAATAATTGCGAGTAATTAAGTCACTCAAATAAATGTGAGTGTTGCAAAGTTGAGACCTAAATTCAACATGGGCTTTGAACACGTTTTTCTGCTTCCAGTTATTTAGAGCCAAGACATAACACTAGGCTGAATTTAAGGAATTTTTATTAATTATTTAAGTTAAAAAAAAAAAAACATTAAACCAAAAAAATGTTCACGATTGTTTTTATATGTACAATAAAATTAGATAAAAGATAATTGTATGTAAATCCTTCAAAATTTGGAATCTTGTAAGCCTGTTAAAATTTACTGCTTTTATAATATGTTTTAATATATAGGCATTATTGTTGTATTTTATATTTTCTGATTTTAAGAAAATATCATTGTGCAAATCTTCCTAAAGGATTTATACTTGATATTTTTATGTTTTATAGAGAAATAATGATCTGCCCTATTAAAAAAATGAGGGTGGCATTTAAACAGTCATTCAGTTGGTTTATGTTTTATCTGTACACATTATTATTAAGTAAATATTTTTAAAAAAATTCTTCGTTATTAATTATGCTTATTTTTTTAATTTTTTTTTCTTAGGTCTATTATGCCAAAAAGAAAAGACGAGCCCAGGGCACACAAGGTGAAGATAGTTCTCACAAAAAAGAGCGGAAACTATACAACGATGGTTTCGATGATGAAAATCATGATTATATCATCAAGAACGGTGAAAAGTTTTTAGATAGATATGAAATTGATTCATTAATTGGAAAGGGGTCCTTTGGTCAGGTAATTAATTTAATTATTTTTGTTAATTAAAAAGGCTTTTTTTTTTTGTATTTATGTTATTTATTCATATTTTATATAAACTCTATTGTGATTGCATGATAAAAACTCTTGATAATCATGCAAACTTTTTAGGTTGTGAAAGCATTTGACCATGAAGAATTATGCCATGTCGCAATCAAGATAATTAAAAATAAGAAGCCTTTTCTCAACCAGGCTCAAATTGAAGTTATGTTGTTAGACATGATGAATAAGGCGGATGCAGATAACAAGTATTATATAGGTATGTTTTTATCTTTTCTTTATAATTTAATCTTTAATGTGATCTTGTATTAAATTAATTTTAATAATTCACTTCTTTTCATCACTCAGATAGCATTTTATCTATTCGCTCTGTAAACAAATGGCAAAGTAAACACAGCATTTTACAGATTTTAGATTAATTTAAGTACTTTAGTTCATGAAATTTATAACTATATAATTATATAGAAAGTCCTGTAATGTTGTGAAATATCCGCTCATGAACTTCATTTCAAAGATATCTTCAGTTTATAACTCACTTATGTTGGTCAGTGAATGAGTAGTAATATAATATGGAAATAGGTAAATTAATGTATTATGAGAGTGAGGAAATAATGAAAAGTATGAATATAAATAAGCACCTAACTAAAATAGTAATGGTCCAGTCTAGTTAATGTTATAAGAAATAGCAAATAGTTTTCTTTCATTGACTGTTACTGTGTTTATTAGGCCTGTTCCATAAACAGAAATATTAATTCACAAGTTAAATTAAATCCAGCTAAAATGTACTTAATTAAATTTAATTTAAAAATAGATTAATTGATGAAAAAAAATCTTATTAATAAATGTTAATCTTATCCTATCTGTTAATTTTTTTTCTTCTGCTCATGGGAAGAACATTGAACTGATTTCTACGAACGTTTTTTCTGTTGTTTATTCATAGCCACTTTCCACCTTAAAGCAAATTATGGAGGATTAAACACTGATACATGTAATTTATTCTCTTTTCATTAAAAATTAGCTAAACCAAATTAAACCAATGAACCAATTCCTAAAAGCTTAATATTTGTTATTGAAGGAAGTTAGTCGACTGTTCAACATATCATGGGTGATAAATATTCAGGACGCAGTCATTATAAGGTTTTTATTAGTACTGACGTTTCAACCCAAACATGTGGGTCATCATCAGGGCGTGGTTTGAGCACTGAAGATATTCAAGTACTAACGGTTTGATGCCGTTAGTACTTGAATTGAGTTTATATGGGATTAGTACTTGAATATCTTCAGTGCTTGATACTTGAATTGAGTTTATATGGGGTTACTACTTGAATACCTTCAGTGCTCGAATCACACCCTAATGATGACCCACATGTTCGGGTTGAAACGTCGGAACTAATAAAAACCTTATGATGACTGCGTCATGAATGTTTATCATCCATGTTAATATTTGTTGTGCCGACTGGTAAATGCCTGAGGGGTAGACCGGAGTGAAGGTGGGAAGTTTGCATTAAGGGTGATCTGAAGGTACTGGAGGAAGGTGTATAGACAGCGATTGGTGGTGTCGGCATCGAACCTTAGGATTTGCTCAGCCTTTTGTTATTATTATTAAATTAGACCAAACTTATTGTTGTTATTTAGTGCATAACAAATAGGCTCAATATCAATTGGAGGGGTCTATCATTAAATTGTTTCAAATTTCTTAAACTTGCCCTGTCGATCATCAAATGAACAAATGATGAGTTTAATGGAGCCCAGTTACACTCAATTTGTATGATTAGAATTGAGTTATTTTACTTTTCCCATATGTTTCTTGCATAACTCAGCAGGGCAGAATGCCACTATTGTATGTGGCCTGTTTCCTTGTCATGGGATCCTACAGTTTAGTTATTGATAGCCCAAGGAAAGGAACTGGTTTATCTGGATCCTTCGTGGTAAAATCACATTTCGAATTGTTTTACTCAACGCTTTTTAAGGAATACTATAGTTAGTCTATGATTTATAAATTATTTTGTTAGAATTTATCTCAATAAATCAATACTTTGCCAATTAAAAATACCAAAAACTAAAATCAAATATTACCATATTTCAAATAAATTACTTAGTCGTCCAACAGGATGTCATCAGTATGCTAACCAGTCGTGTTGAACTTACAGTATTTATTTGTTTTTGGAACTATTATATATATTGAAGAAAGTTAGTTGACTGTATAAGCAGAAGATAAATAATCAAGAAGCAGTCATTTTGAGATTTTTTATTGTTGCCGACATTTTGACCCCAACATATGGTTCATCATCAGGGCATGTTTGCAGTACTGAAGCTGTTCAAGTGCAAACATGCTCTGATGAAGACCCACATGTTTGGGTTGAAACATCGGTAACAATAAAAAATCTCAAAATGACTGCTTCCTGATTATTTATCTGCTGTAATATATATATATATATATATATATTTAACTTCATTGATAACTTATGATTTATATATGCAAAACAGGATAATGTAACAATTATGTTTTAATTACAGTGAGATTAAAAAGGAACTTCATGTGGAGGAACCATCTGTGCCTTGTGTTTGAGCTGTTGTCCTATAATCTTTTTGACCTTCTACGAAACACAAATTTCCGTGGAGTATCCCTCAACCTTACCCGGAAATTTGCTCAACAACTATGCACAGCCTTACTGTTTCTTTCGACCCCAGAGTTGAATATTATCCATTGTGATCTCAAGCCAGAAAACATCCTCCTTTGTAATCCGAAAAGGTCTGCCATTAAAATTGTCGATTTTGGATCCTCGTGTCAACTTGGTCAAAGGGTAAGGAAATAATTTTATTTTTTATAGTTGTAGTTGGTTTTTAAAATATATTTGACAATAATTTAATTATGGACATTTTTGTATTATTAGAAATATAAGATGATTTTTTTTTTCTTACAGATTTATCAGTATATTCAGTCTAGGTTCTACAGAAGCCCTGAAGTTTTGTTGGGCATACCTTATGATCTTGCGATTGATATGTGGAGTCTTGGTTGTATTCTTGTTGAAATGCACACTGGAGAACCTCTTTTTTCTGGCTCAAATGAGGTAAAAATTAAATTACCTTTCTTTCTTTCATGCAGTTATAAATAGTGGACCTATAACAATTCATTCATTGAATAAAAAATTTACTAATTATTTTTTATAAATAAAAATGTAATATTTTCTTCAATTTTTCTTGTTTGATTTAATTTTTACTTTTTGAAATATAGGTATTTTTAGCATTCAAATGTATTTTTATTTTTAAAGGTTGATCAAATGAACAAAATCGTAGAAGTTCTTGGTATGCCTCCAAAACATATCCTTGATCAAGCACATAAAACGAGGAAATATTTCGAAAAGAGCCCAACTGGCGATGGTTATGTGTTAAGGAAAACAAAGGATGGGAAAAAATATCGGGCTCCGGGAACAAGGCGTTTACATGACATTCTAGGTGTTGAAAGTGGTGGGCCTGGCGGTAGGAGGTTAGGTGAACCTGGCCACTCAGTTTCCGATTACCTTAAGTTCAAGGTATGTATCTATTTTTTTTCTATGTTTTTAATTATGATTTTATATATGTTGATGGTTGATCATTTGATAAATCAAGCATATGGTGCGATAATTGGCATAACTTAATAACTTAACATAAGTTTCCACTATTAATTCAATGTTAAATATTTAGTTGTTATTTATTTTATTTTTTTCCCAAATTAAAGCAGATTTTTCTTTCACGAATTATTTACTTAATTGAGAAATTAAAATGTTATGCCTCCAAAGCCATCATGCACTTAAGTATTCTCCCAAAATGAGCATGAGCTTCCTCTGTTCTTAGATCAGCACAGGCCAAAAAGAACTAATCCACAATCTGTCGATACATCAGTGAGCACGTCATTGGTTTGTGCTCAGTGTAACAAGACAACTAATAGAGTCTAGCCCGTTTCTTCCTCCATCCCTCCACTGCTGTATGGTGAAGAAACATTTCTTGACATATACCATACCCCAAAGAATAAAAATCATATATTTTTAACTACTTATCATTTATTCATATAAGGCTTGTCTTTTACTGTCCATTTTCAAACCCTATTATTTAAAAAAAAAACTAACAAATTTTTTCAACATTATACTATAAAATTTAACAAGCCTAATTTATTAAAATTTTATTGAAATCACATTCTATTATTAAAAATTGAAAAGAAAAAAAATATGGCAACATACTTTCTTTATTTTTATTGAGAACAAGCCAAAACCAATTATTATTTTAAATTAATTAATTTAAAACTATTTGATCTGTTTCCATTCAATGTATGATTTAATTTTATATGTCCTTTTATTACTTGTACGTATTAAAATTCCTATCATCATCATCCTCATCAGTGGCACTACAACCCGGTACGGGTCTTAGCCGCATCAATACGTCGCCTCCATTCCTCTCCAGGTCGGCTTCGACCTCATCTGCCCATCTCAATCGTGGCCGTCCTCTCTTTCTTCTACCATCCACATATCCGAACAGTAGCTTTGATTGCTGAGTCCCCATCTATCCTTGTGACGTGCCCAGCCCATCTTAGCCTAGAGAGCCGTATAAATCGCACCATATCCGGTTCCCGGTAAATTTGATACAACTCTACATTGTCTTAGCCTATACTGGTTATCAACTTTCACAAAGCCATATATCCTTCTCAGGACTTTTCTCTTGAAAACCTGCAACCTGATGGCGTCTGTTCGTGATAATGGCTATGTCTCTGAGCCATATGTCAGTACAGATCTAATAAGAGATTTGTACCGAACAATCTTACTGGATCTAGCCAGCAAATGACTTCTTATAATTTTAGCTAGGCCAAAATAGCATCTATTAGCTGACGTAATTCTTCTTTGTACTTCTTGGCTAGGCATATTTTCTGCATAAACTAAGGACTCTAGATGCAGAAAATTATTTACGCTTTCGAATGTGTATCCCCCAAATATAACTGTAGGTGGCGGTGGCCTTGGTGAGTTGAAAATCTGCCAATTTGGTCTTAGCTTGGTTAATACTTAGACCCATTACCTGTCCTGCTGTCTGTTAAGGATGTCCTTTCTAAGTCCCTCTGTGATCTAGCTATAATATCTATGTCATATGCGTAGGCTATAATTTGTACTGACTTGGTGAGAATCGTCCCATTTCTTTGTACTTTGAAGTCTCTTATTACTTTTTCTAGTGCAAGATTAAAGAGCAGGCATGATAAGCCATCTCTTTGTCTCAAGCCCCTTGTGGTCATGTATTTCTCTGATAGGTCTCGCTGTATTCTGACTTGACACCTTGATCCTATCATCAGCAGCTCTGTGAAATGTATCAATTCAAGAGGAATATTCATTGTTTCCATAGCCTGGTACTATGTCTCTCTAATTCCACTCTCATATGCACTGCTAAAATCTACAAAAAGGTGGTGTGTGACGATATTATATTTCCTTGTTCTTTCAAGCAGGATCCTTAAGGCAAAGATTTGGTCAGTGGTAGATCTCCCTTTCATGAAATGACATTGGTAGATTTCCACCTTTCTTCCCTTTTTTTTTTTTTTGTTCTTCCCTACCTCGCCTTTTAGGCTATATGGGATTTTTCCGGGCCGGGGAGTGAGGGCAGGGAATTTAAAATCCCCTCCGTCACCGGAACGCGAACTCGTACTTTTAAATCTTCTCAAATCTGTAATCCGGTTGCCAGGTAACTCGCGGTGCTGTGCACACGCTTTAACCCATTCGGCCACCCCGCCCCTTAGATAACACCTTACATGTGCAATTGAGGAGAGTTATGTCACAGTACTTATTGCAGTACTAAAATTCTTATAATGATATATAAATTTCTAATCTAAAGTTCCCTATTCAGTCCGTATAAGATCAAACACAACGATCATTTCCGTATAAGATCAAACATAATGATCATTGCTTGTGTAGTTTTACAACCTATCCTCTCACGCATCCAACACGTTTGCTCATTCGAGGTGAATGATCAAGTATTTATGCAGCTTAAGAATATAGCACTAACTTTATCAATTTTATTTTTGTTAAATTGTAATAGGCTGTAAAGTTGGTTTTTTAATCATTAATTTTTTTTTTTTAATTTCAGGATCTGATCTACCGAATGCTCGATTACGATCCCAAAACTCGTGTTACACCTTATTATGCTCTTCAACATAATTTCTTTAAACGTACTGCTGACGAGGGTACAAACACATCTGGTTCGAGCGGATCTAGCCCAGCAATTCAGCCAACAGCTGTTGAGCCAGGACCCTCTTCTCAGCCAGGTTAGTAATGCTCTACTGTAAACTGTTGTACTTAACATTTTTTCATTTAACTGATGTTGAAAAGACATGTCTTAAATTTTTTGATGTGTATGTTCAACATAATACATAACTTTTATCTTATGTATTATCTTTTTTTAATTTGACTCTCAGCTATTTTTAAATTTATTCTGAACAGAATAGTTAAGAAATATTAGTAACTAAAGAATTTCCTTGTATTTAGTTACTTACAAATATGTACATTCTTAAGCTTTAACTTTCTTAGTTAAAACTTAGTAATGTTCTTGAAATATTAATTAGTTTACTTCAGCATTTGCTCTATTTATGATAAGTCTATATTTATACAGAACATAATATCTATATATATAAGCTTAATTATTTATTTTTTATTATAATAATATAATCTGGTTGTATTATCAGTGAACGGCTCCTGTTCTCAATCCACAGCATTTCCTACAAAACAGTTTTCCCCTAAACCATTCTCTTCAATAATAGTACTCCTTAATTTAAACAATATGACCCACCGATATGAGTCGAACATGATTCAAGAATGAATTACTTATCTTTTGAAAAGATTTTAAAGATTACCTAGTTTAATTTGATCCTTCATCTATAAATTTTTTTCTAAATGCTTTTCATTAAAAAACCAGACCAAAACTCCATCTGGTTCAATCACCAGGATCTACATATTTCTACCTTATTCACTTTCTTTTTGTCCATTTCTTCCTTGTTTTGGCTATACTGGGATTTTCCTGGTCCAGTAGAGAAAGCGAGGGATTAATGCCAGAGTTAAACGGCACCACTCAGCACTGAGATGCAAACTGGTTATTATTTTATATCTTGTGAACTTCTGTTTATCATGTGGTTGGTTGTCGATTGCACAAATGTTAGCCTACTCGACCATCCCGCACCCATTTAAGAAGCAAATTGATATATAGCAGATGTATATTGATTTCTGTAGACGCTTCCGCATATTTCAAGTATAGAACCACCCTTTTTAATTGTTATCCCCTTAAAAATTTCATTATTGCAGTCTGCTTATAGTGGTCTAGCTCAGTGTGACTTACAATGTGTAGCTTAAGTTTTTATTATATTTTCTAATTTTGACTATTTGTTTCTTAAGAAGAATAAACCTTACAGGCACAGAAAAGGGAGTGTATTGATGAGTAACTCTTGCATGTGAAAGGGATCATATTTTCAACTGCTAGGATATATTTATTCTGTTCTTGATAGGTTATTTAGGTTGTATTATTTTATTTTACATACCATGTTCCAGTTCATGTGGTATTGATTTTTTCCACATGATATGCTTGAATGTTTAATATTAACATTAGGGCAGGACTAAGAAGACTAACCAATACTAATCTTCTTAAGGTGTTTTCCACATATCTTTATGGTAAGAGCCTGGGATTAAGTAGTGTTTCTGCATACATGTCCAATGCAGCAATTCATTATTTTCATCATCTTTCCAATTATTGATAGTAAGAGCATTGAATTTTATGATATTTTTACATTTAGATCCATTAGTTCATTACATTAGTTTTCATAGTTAACATATTCTTTGTCTTATATGGTGCCCAGTTCCATGTCAATTACAAATATTGCCCCCAAGATTCTCCTTGGAATTCTCCCATCAAATTTTGGCAAAGCTTGTTCCTGATAGCTAGTCTAGGATTCTTTCATAGCATTGATACAAGTGAGTACAGACAGTGTCTTATATAGGTGAATACTATTCTCCTCTTGGTATGCTTAACTAGCCCATAGTAATATCTATTTATGGAAACAATTTGATCCACGTCAGTCTCGTTTTGGGAATTGACTAGTGATTCCAAAAAATAAACCCATTTCAAAGGTATATGGCCCAATAAGGTTTTCCTCCGTGAAGTGCTATAGGCATGTACTTTGCCTCATTAATAACGAGTCCCATTTTTTCAATTGCTTGTTGGATCTCTAAGAATACATCTTCTCATGGCTTCAAAGATTCTTCTGATTAAATCAATATAATCCGTTAACCTATGGATTATTGCAGTTCTATTAAAAATTGAACCTCTGACTTGGATTCCAGGTTTCTTTAGTCCAAAACCAAGTTAAAAAGCTGGCATGGAAGGTTATGTCCTTGCCTAAACCCCTTAAGGGTGCAAAAAAAAGGATGGATAAGGACCATACATTTTACCCTCATAGTCATGCATACCTTGTCCTGTCATAAATATTGTTACAAGGAAATGTATACAGATTTCAACAGAAAAATTGAATTTTTCAAAAACTTTATTAGAAAATAAACTGTATATCTATAGAGAGTAAAACAAAAAAGAAATTACTCAAAATATTCCCGCTTTTGCCTTGACACAGGCATTTAATCTTCATGCCCAGTCACCAATAGAAGTACGCTCGCACCAGAGATTTTTTGAGCCTTCCCAAGTTAAGGTGTGCTCTGTATCATGCTATCCTTTCCAGTTCGGACCAAATCCGTTAATCTAGTGGGTTGAGATCAGGGCTTTCTAAGGACCAATCCGAGGCAGAGATGAATTCTTGAATGCTCTTTTGCAGCCACTGCTGAGTTGACCTGGCCTTGTGAGCTGGAGCAGAATTCTGCTGGAAAACCCATTGACTTCCAGCAAACAGAGTATTATTTAGAGGCCTGACAACAGGTTCCAAAATAAAATATTGTCCTAATAGTTTTCAGCGGCTGTTTGAACTCCTTTTTCACAAAAATGGAGCTTTGTGGTGCCATCAAAACATACTTCCCGTAAACCGTCACTGAGGAAGGGTGATGATCTCTTTCTGCTCTTCCAATGACTTCCTGGGCTTCTTTAGAGCATACACACAATCATTTTGGCGATTAAATTTTTCTTCAATTGTAAAAATTTTCTCATCACTAAACAAAATCTTTCAATGGGGACTTCCATTGGTGTAACGGCCAAGGAGTACTTTGCATCTATCCACTCTAATTTTTTTTAGGAAAGTGGTTAGCCTTTTTCCTGTTATTCTTCAAAATGCAGCCATCCTAAGGTCACTTTTTATTATGCCAGACATTGATCTGACAGAGATTCTCATTTCTCGAGACATGATTTGTTGTTTTCGAATGGGATTTTTTCTGATTCGAGCAGCCACTGCATTTGCCGTTCCCACAGCGGCCCGGTCGAGGTCTGTCACATACAGATAGGGTCTCATTATATCTATTTATAGGGTGGTATACGAATATTTGGTTGATACCCAAAGGTTTCAAAGTGTTGAAAATCTCTGACCTAAATTTTTCAACTTTGTATAAAGCGATCTCAACTATTCGGTTTTCTTTATCACCCCACTCCATGTTAGTTGAGCGAAAGAAAAATGCAAACTAATTGGGATTATTATCCTGACATGTAAAGAAAATAACCTGATGGAGGTAAGGATTATCTAAATATCCTTACCTCCATCAGGTTATTTTCTTAAAGTTTTCATCTATTGTGGACTTCCCTTTCAGTTTTCTTCAATATTTGACATGTATATGTGGTTATCACATTATAAACTGTTGTCATTATTAGATAGTTATTATTAGATTGTCAACTTTTTTTATGTTCAGAAATGATGATACAAAGATATATCATTCGTTGATATATATGCCTGCATTACTTTGATATAAGCAAAGCTGGCAATTTTCTTAATTTTATTGCCACATTTTTAAGAGTTATGTAATATGAATCCTAATGTTTAATTTAATAAGATAATCGTTATTTTATATTTCTGACTAATCAAGTTTGAATATCTTACGAAATTAAATATCTTTTGGATTTATTCTATGGCAAAATTACTTTCAAAATTATCATTAACATTGATAGTTAGTAAATTTAACAACTTAATTTTTTATAATAAGTACACTGAATAATTTATTCTTCAATGATAGAAAATGATTGTGCGAAATCCTGATGACAATTATGAATTGTAAGTGTATGATATGTTATTGTGTATACATCTACATTAATTTTTAGATAAATGTTGTGCAATGCACTGAAAGCTTCTTGAAGCTATATAATAAAATTGAAACTGATTTGAAGGGTATGTTTCTATGAGCTTGATTTTTTCTCCAATCCACTAAGTTTTAATTATTTTCTATAGTTTCCATAGTGGAGAAAATTGAACTGAATGAAAAATCCATATAATATATAGTATGTGTTAAATAATAAAGCAAACTAATGCTAAAAAATTATATGTTGAATAAAGCTTATTTAAGAAATTTTAATTTATTTTCTGGTCTTATATTATAACATAATTATTGCTTTCTTCGATTATTTTATAAACTGGTCTTGCTTCTTATCACATTCAAATTTACATTTAACAGACCTTTTGGGTTTAAGGTGGAGAACACTGTTCAAGTAAGCAAAGTTGTTGATAAAATTTATATCATCACATTTAAATTTAGAAACCACACACCAGATTATTGGATTTAAGAAATAATTCAACTCATAAGCCATAGTTCATTTACATTATAAAACGTTGAATAACAATTAAAAAAAATATTAGATCCATATGCTGACAAATTTAATAATTTTTCCCATTTAATAGAACTATGTTTATTTGAAAGCGTTTTTTTTTTCCTTCTTTTTTTTTTTGCTGGAATGTTACGGCTCATATTGCTTTATGGTCCTTGTTTATTGTAGATACATTGCCAGGCTTTCTGCAGCGATGACATGCAAACACCTTGGCTCAGCAAACATTCATAAACTAAGACATGAGTAAGTTCATATTTGTTTGGGAAAAGAAATAAAGAAAAAAAAAAAAAGAATTTTTATTCTTATTTATCATTACAGAGCACTTTGAAATCTTAAAATTTGTGCATGTCACATTTGTGAAATAGCACTTATTTATTGGTTTATTCACTACTTTTGTATTTCATTCTAGTTCCAATGTATATTTATTAAGCCGTTCATTATATTTTCTGATTAAAGTTGAAAAAGAATATAATTCTGAAATAGTATTTGGATTGTTAATGAAACATAGTAGTTCACTTTTGCACCTTTTCTTCC